TCTTCAGCTGCTTCATCAATGACCTTCCCTCCATCATAAAGTCAGAGTGAGAATGTTCTCCGATGATTGCACAATGTTCAGCACCATTCGTAACTCCACAAATACTGAAGCAGTCCATATTAAAATGCAACAAGAACTGGACAATATCTGGGCTTGGACTGACAAGTGGCAAGTAACATACAAGTCACATAAATGCCAAACAATGACCATCTGCAATAAGAGACAATATAACCACCGCCCTTCACATTCAATAATGTTATTACCATCACTGAATCCCCCTCTATCAACATCCTGGGGTTACCATTGACCAGAAACACAACTGGTCTTGCCATATAAATACAATGGTTACAAGAGCAGGTCAGAGGCTAGGAATACGACAGCGAGTGACTCACTCCTGACTCCCCAAACCCTGTCCATCCACTACAAGACACAAGTCAGGAGTGTGGTGGAATACTACCCACTTTCCTGGACAAGTGCAGCTCCAAAACACTCAAGACACCTGACAGCATCCAGGACAAAACAGCTAGCTCGATTGACATCATAAGCATCGAAACTATTCACCACCGACACTCAGCAGCAGCAGTGTGTAAAATCTACAAGATATGCTGATGAAATTTGCTAAAGAGCCTTCAACAGCAATTTCCAAACCAAACCACTTGCATCTAGAAGGACAGAGGCAGCAGATACATGTGAACACCACCATCTGCTAGCTCCCCTCCAAGCCACTCACCATCCAGAGTTGGAAATATATTGCCGCTCTTCAGTGTTGCTGGATTAATGTCCTGGAGCTCCCTCCCTAACTGCAGTGTGGGTCTATCTACAGCACGCGAACTGCAGCAGTTCAAGAAGGCAGCTGACTACCACTTTTTCAAAGGAAATTAGGAATGGACAATAAATGCTGGCCAGCCAGCGACCCACATGTCGATAAACGTCACCCACGAGAATAAAAATCGGCCCAGGATATATGTCTATTGATTAATCCACTATTTGAAAACAACAAGAAAACAAAAAAAAATCCTCTACCCCTCATTCTCTTCCCTACAGCTTATTTTAAGGATTCCACAGCAGAGATCATAGGCACTTCCTGTTGATCCTCATCAATGTCGGTGCACAAATTGTGTAACAATTGTGAATTGCTGTGAAGTCCCTTTTCAGTCTGAAGATGACTTGAACATTCTGGTCTTGACCAATGATCTTGTCAATACGGATCAGTTCAAATTCTTTGTAGCCTCATGAGGGGTACAATCCATTTGCTCAACACGGCTTCAAACTTGAAGACCCCACCAGAGCACATATTAACATGATCATTGGCAACAACTATACAGAAGAGTATCATTCCCTATTAAAGGAGATTAAGCGATACTTTCATGCTTTTCACATAACTGTATTGATTTTGCCACTTCAACAAAATTTCAAATGGTTGCCTTTTGCATTCTATGGTTGAAGTGTGACAGGAGCTAAAATTAGGAACAGATGGTATCACTGAGCAAATCAATGCATCCCCACAGATATCGAACCTAGTCACAGCATGATGCAAAATTAGTGAACATCGATTATGTATCAATCTTAAGGCAGTCAACAAAATCCATCATTCCAGACAAGTACCCACTTCCTATGATCCATGAAGTATTGGCATAACTTAATGACCCCACACTCAACATGAATCCCAATGTGTGAACAGTCTATCTACAGATGGCACTAGCCAAACATAGCTGATACCTTAACAGCTATTGTAACTAAATAAGGTGTCTTTCAGCCCTATGGACTAAGTTGAGCACATAGTGCATCCCAGAAGATTGTTTCTTCAGCCTTGTCAGATGTTGATTGAATGTTCAACCAGCTCGATGATACCCTTGTCCATGAAGGTTCAAAGCAGAACACAGCCAACAGTTATCAATCGTGCTCACTCGATGTGAAAACACAATTTGACACTCAACAAAGACAAATGCATATTTGTGGCATCTAAGATTGACTTTTTAAGAGTGACAGCAGCTGCAGTAAAATCTATACATGCTAACAGCAAAGCCATTCATGTGCTTCTGACCCTGTGTAACATACAAACACATAAACAAGACCACTCGGCACTTCGAGCCTACTGTGCCATTCAATAATATCAGGGCTGACTTGATTTTAGCTCAACTTTACATTCCTGCTTATCCCCAATAAGTTTTTATCTCCTTGCTAATTAAAAATCTATCTACCTATGGCTTTAAAGTATTTAAATATTCTTAATTCACTCTCTGCCTTTTGAGGAAGGGAATTTCAAAGACCAGAACCCTCTGGGAGAGAGAGAAAAAAGTCTTCATCTTTGTTTTAAATGCGCCACCCCTTCTTTCTGAAATATGACCCCTATGATCAGTCATCTTTCCACAGGATAACCAAATTTCATCACAAGTTTGTACCTAAGCACGAATGATTGCATTCCCTCATCAGAAGTTACTACAGAAAGATACACAATAGGAATAGATAATTGCGCAGCAAACAGCCATCAATGAGTCAAAGGCAAAGACAGCATCTCAGCCAGTCTCCATACATTTCAATCCATACGTGGAGGGGGAAGAATCATAGAATCCCTACAGTGCGGAAACAGGCCCTTCGGCCCAACAAGTCCACACCGACCCTCAGAGCATCCCACCCAGACCCATTCCCCTATAAACCCACCTAAATAATCTAAAATGGTGTGATAGTGGAATGCCAATGATCTGGCAATCCTGAGGCTTAGACTAATGCTCCAGGGGCATTGAAACAAATCCCAATAAGGCATTTAAATTCAAATAATGAACCTGGAACTGAACCTAATCCCAGTTATCGTGACCTTGCAACTGTCATGCATTGTTGTTAATAACCCATCTGATTCATTAATGTCCTTTAGGGAAAGAAATCTGGCAGCTGGTCTCTGAAATAACCAAGGCAGTCACCCAATTCAAGGGCAATTAGGGGTGGATAACAAATGCTGGCCTATGCTAGTGACACCCACATCCTAAGAAGAAATAATGTCACACAGGTGTCAGGAAATGCAACTGAAACTATTCTTACAGTACAGTGAAGGAACTGCTAATGTATCACGTCCATTGTCAGAAACCAAACATAATATTTTACTGGAGAGCATGAAGCATTAATGTGCATCTATGCTGATGAATAGTGAGTTGTGTGAAGAGTGAGTTGTGTGAATAGTGAGTTGTGTGAAGAGTGAGGTGTGTGAAGAGTGAGTTGTGTGAAGAGTGAGGTGTGTGAAGAGTGAGGTGTGTGAAGAGTGAGTTGTGTGAAGAGTGAGGTGTGTGAAGAGTGAGGTGTGTGCCTCTATGGTAGAACGTTCACTCCCTACACCAATCACTTACTGCATCATTAGCAATGTTTGGACCTGGTCAATGACCTCAATGCCTCTAGAGATGGTCAGATCATCTTCAGCTTGGAGTTGAAGTACCTTGGAGGTTCACACAACCAATTTGTTGACACGCTTAGCCATATTAGGCATGGTGGCTCAGTGGATAGCACTGCTGCCTCACAGCGCCAGGGACTTGGATTTGATTCCAGCCTTGGACGACTGTCTGTGTGGAGTTTGCACATTCTCCTGTGTCTGCATGAGTTTCCTCTAGGTGCTCTGGTTTCCTCCCGCAGTCCAAAGATGTGCAGTTTAGGTGGATTAGCTATGCTAAATTGGTCCCTAGTGTCTAGGGATATGTAGGTTTGGTGGAATAGACATGGGAAACGCGGGGTTACAGGGGTAGGGTAAGGAAATGGGTCTGAATGGGATGATCTTCGGAAGGTCAATGTGGATGTGATGGGCCGAATGGCTTGCTTCCACACTGTAGGGAGTTTATAATTCTATATTAATCTCTCAGACAGCATTTGCAATAATGGAAGCAACTTGCAACCTTGAAGACTATGTGATCACATTGATTTTGCACCACTGCCTCTAGGCTAAGATAGCATTCTCATTGGGGAACATACCACATTCCACAATATGGGACCTGTCTGCAGATCACCAGCCTAACATATTAACAACCTGCCGCCTTTAAAGACAATATATTGGGAGGGTTAATGAAAGGTTTTGCAATGATGCTTTGGCAGCTGGATGAATATCAATTCTCTTCCTAGGTCTCATTGACACTTCTCTCTAATTGTAACAGCGTTATCTGCCTAAAGCACCCATCCCTGGCTGGATACATTACTCACCTTCTGTCACCTCAAACCCATGATGTGCTGTTGATTCTCTACTCCAGAACAATGAATGTTTACATCACATAGACTGTCACATCTTTACAAAGGATGTTTAAACATCAAAACTGACCAAGTGAAACTCTCCTCTAAAGTTACTCCAAATAGAAATGACTTTTTTTTTCCAAACTGAAAATTTTAAATTTCTGATTTCTTCCCCCTCTCATTCCATTTCCATAAGGGGCATGCATTTTACAGTTCAAGACATGGGTTTGTCATAGTTGCAATCTAGCCCTTGCAAAAAAGTTAAAGCTTTCCAGAGAGCTTTTTTTTCTATCTGCAATTGACATATAAATAATGAGCTGTGACTAAAGGGTTAAATTCCACACACTTTATTCAGAAGCAGTTTTCAAACTTTGATCACTCAGCTATTCCCATATTTTCCTAGCCTGTTGTTCATTCCAAAGGATGGAAAGAAAATTGGAAAGATTTTGGATGCAGAAGATAACTTTCAAGTTCTAAGTCGTATGGTACATTGTCAATACTTAACACAATATGCAAAACCTAAATACATTTTCAAAGGTTTCTTTGCTGGTTTTATGAAGACCATTATAATGAACAGCCTCACGCAGTAATATAGCATAGAGGAATTTCAAAATGTATATCTGGTGTGCCTTCTGTAGCTCCAGCCAAACTTGAATGATTTTAATCAATATTTCTGAAAGTGTTATTCCACAGCTCTGTGGTCACCATTTCCTGAGGTGCTTTCCTCTGCGCATGTGTGTGTGTGTGTGTGTGTGTGTGTGTGTGTGTGCGTGTGTGCGTGTGTGTGTGGTGCTCACCAAAATTGGATTCATCACCGAGTTCTTTTCCAAACTTGATCATACTCTCCCCTAGGAGCCCCTCAGCCTGGGGGTAACCCGGTCCTTTCTCCTGCCCTCGAATCTTTGACATTGTGTTGATCATTGTCAGTTTTGCTCTGGAAGCTAGATATAAGAATATTAGAGGTATATAATGGACACGAATCATTTCACTTTCCAAAATTCTGACATTTTATTACAGGCACACAAAGTGAAATAACAAGCACTTCCTCATACCTACACATTGAAGTACAGCATGGAAATAGAAAATAGAGAAGATCACCTCACCTGCTGTCACATCACATCGAGAGGTACAGCTTCAGGGCAGCCTCCTCCTTTAAAATATTGACAGTACATGTTTTTCTAGAGTTGCTGGTATTGAGTTTCCAATTGATGATTGCCAGAAAAAGTAGGTGTTATTATTTTGGGTCTCATTTCATCTGGTGGCAGTGGGGTTAACATATTCTGTTATAAAGTCCCAGACTACAATTTAAATACTGCATTATTTAAAGATTATTTACAAAGTCTCAAGCCTCTTTAAGTCGCATTTTTAAAAATTGTCTCGTCTACTTAAGGGCCTACGTGGCAGGACATCGAGCAAAATAATTAAGTATATTATACAGCTATTACATTTCTGCTTGACCATCTTTTGTTAGGTAAACTGGCTCAATATTTTACACTTCAATGAGGAGGAACATGGTGTTCGATTGGTTTTAAAAACTGGAGTGCCATCTTATGGGAGCAACAGGATAAGTTCACTAACCAAAAGCAATTAAAAACAGAATGCTTGGGAAATACCTAATGGGTCACACACATCTGTGGAGTGAGAAACAGATTCATTCCAATTCAAATATAGATCTCATTTGGAACTGTTCCCTGAATTAAGATGTTAATCTGCTTCCCTCTCCACAGATGCAGTTCCTGGGAGTCACATTTGATTTGAAGTGCTAACCCTGTGTTTTTCTCTCTCCAGAGATGTTTGCTTAGGTTACTGTTATATTATGTAGTTACCTGTCAGACTACTGAGTGACTAGTTGTCTGCTTGCTAACAGATGAGCTGCTCAGTAACAGCCTGAGTACTGACTGTAAGTAAAGAAAGGCAGAATTTTTGTATACTTGTTACATCATGGTATCGTCTTGTCTTAAATATACAATATCTCTCTGTGTTCTAATTAATACAAATGGCCTCTGTTAGACTTCTCACCAATATTGATCACAGGAACTACAAGCACATATGTAGTGAGGTGCATTTTTACAAAGTTTAACGTTGGCAGCAGAGCAGCAGAAAATCCCATGGAAGAGTGTAAGTAGGCACAGTGTCATTTCCATGGGGTCCTGTAGTTTTGCCGTTCAAGGTAATGCAGTTGATCAGTGAGCCCTGAATGGGAATTCTCCTCAAGTATATTCTTCTTCACCCCCCAACACAATTTCATGAGAAGAAAACCTTTTCTGAACCTTGCAGCACAATTTTCCCTGTGTCTCTTGCTAAGGAGGTTCAGCTAAGACCCATCAGCACTCAGATCTGCTTACTCAGCATGTATCATGCTCATTTTTCCTCGCCTAAATTATTCCTTGCTGACATACCTCCCTCCCTGTCTTTCGCTCTCACTTCTAACAGGTATACACATATAAAAACACCGGGCCTCAAACACTAATTGGTTATAATTGACTGGATAACGCAACCACATTGACTCGCTTGTTTATGCTTCAACCTCCATCTTCATATTTAGCTCACAAATAGAAATACACTGGTCTTGATGTTAGCCAAGGCTTTATCTAATTTAGCACATCTATCACCAACACTGCATTCTGCTGTTATTTCTCAGTTCACGCAAGAAGATAGAGATCAATATAAAACACAATTAAAAATAATTTTACGTCAGGATTACAGATCAGGCAGTATCCATGGGATGCACAAGTTGGTTGGAGAGGTTTACATGTTAAATGCTTTATTATTCCAGGGATCAGCATCATTCAGTGGGTTCTGTCTTGATTATCTGTTCCACTCTGCGGTCTATACAATCTGCACTAAGCAGATCAAAATGTGCAGTCACATCAGAGTGAACAGTTCAGTTTTGCTATTTGAATTAGCAAGTCACAATAAAACAGCACTAAAATTAAGATGATTTTAATATTTATTGTCACTGTCATTTAAAGTTGTTCAGTAATATATTTGAAGACATTTTATGAAGCAGGATACAGGGAAAAAAAAGCCATCAGAAAACAGCTTGAACATCTGTGGATTTATTTTCCATGTAGTTAAGCCAGACTAATACAGTGGGACTGCCCTGTAATGTCTGCATAGCGAAGACCTTTAGTGATCGTTTACCTGGATTGGGCTGTAGATATTCTGTTGTTTTGGTCATTATTTCCATCACTGCTCGACTAGTAACATCCACCTTCTGAAAATAGGAAGAAATCAAATGCAAATAAACTCTGAGGCTGTATAATAACTCACTGCACTCTCAGTATGTGTAGAATCTACAATACGGCAACAAGAACAAGACAGCCTGTGTGGTGAGATAGACAGGTTCAATGTTTTATGTTAATCTGACAATTTTAGCTATTACAACAAGAAGCTATTCAAGCAGTCAGATGTTATGCTCCAGTCAAGTTACACTGGTTGAGGGACACAAAGTTGTAACTTCGGAGAAATTCTACAGAGGGATGACGCTCTAAGTCAGCAATAAATGAAACAGAAACATTATGTGTAAAGAACAAATTTTGATTTCCTGCACCTATCTTTGCTGAGCATTACATGTCTGGTAGCATTTTGTTTTGCTTTCATCTTCCTTGCCTCCTCTCCCAAAGTGACAGATTCAATATGGGATGCAGTTTTGCGTCTGTTGAATAATCTCTAGTCTTTCTCTTACTTACCATGAGCATAGACTCTAATCATGCTCTTTGATCATGGATTTTGACTCAGTCCTTTCTGCCTTTCTCGATGTCTTCACATATGCTGTTCCCAGCAGAGGTCAAAGGGTAGCAATTAATTACAAACACTGGCTGTTTTTGGATTCTTTAGAGAATGTCATATTTACAGGAACACCACATAAAATAATTCCATCAGATCTAATGAGCATACATGACTTGGAATGCAGTGAAACTATACCCATCAAATCTCAAATGCAGAAATATGAGTCTTGGCTTTTCAGTATTACACAGGTGAATTATACACCTTGCAAAACTATAAGGTCATACTATCAAAAGGGAACCATGTATTTGGAAATCATTGAATCATAGAATCACTACAGTGCAGATAAAGGCCCATCAAGACTGCACTGACACTCTGAAGAACATCCCCGCACCCCACCCCACCCCCAACTCTATCCCCGTAATCCCGCATTTGCCATAGATAAGCCACCTAGCCTGCACATCTTTGGACTGTGGGAGCTTATGTGTTAAGGAACTGAAGCCAGATGTTGCCTTATTTTTAACTAATACTCCTTCTGAACACAGCTTCCCCATTGAAAGTATTAGATTGTATGGTGTGTTCTATGGAAAATAACAGTACTTTGAAAATATGATCCATTTTATTGCAAAATATAAGAGACAACTTTCAAGATAAATAAGACTGTTTTCTAGCCTTTTCATCAGAAGCTATCTCAAACTTCCAACTGTGATAATTCTGTATTAGAGTGGCGAAGGCTGTCATTACAAGTGAGCGGTTTCTGATTTTTTTTACCATTGGTGAACAGGAGGTTAAAATGTAATGTAAATGGTCACAATTGCATGATTACACTATCACACATTTTGTAAAGAAGGTTAATCTGACCTTTTAAAAAGGGCACAGAGGCACAGATTTTTGCTACAATGAAGATCCACTCTGTTGTGGTGAGAATGGCAAAATGCCCAGCTCCATAGCCCAGGATTCTACATTTTTACTGGGTTGGAACTGGGTGCAGTCTGTAGCCTGGACAGAATGAGAGACAACTGATGGTGCTTAACCTGAGGGTCACCATGCCTCAGGCGAGCAGAAAGGTAGAGAAGGTGAATCCTTCATGGTAACCTCAGCCAGTGTAGTAACTGAACCCATGCTGTGGGTGATAGTGTGCCATTTTGGAGTACCTGGCATTTGAAACAGGGAGTGTGAAGATAAATCTGGTAAAAACAGGTCTGATCTCAGTGCATTTGTTTTGGGTAGCCACAGTCCCCCTTTGGAGAGCTGGGCTACTCGTGTGGATATGGGCTCAGGTCATGTTCTCTCCAATTTTCTTTCTGCCTCCAACGCCCATGCACAGCAGCAAACTCTGGAAGTATATATGGGGGCCTTGCAGCAGCTGCACAAGCGTGCAGCTTAAAGGGAGCCTTTGGAACTGGTTGTTCACACTCACACTCGCACTCACATATGCACACGTGCACACAATCTCTCCCTTCTGCAGAGTTGAAGCAGGAATGACAATCAGGGCCAGAAAAAATTGTTTATTAACTACAGTCACAAAAAGCAGAAAGGCTGATATGTTACCTCAGGATTAATCACAAAGGGAACAGTTAGAATTTGATTAACTTTTGAAGAAAACAATGGGTTCCTGTGAAGGTGTGAGAATTCAAACCTTTTGAGAAAACAGGAGATTGGAAGGACACCACAGGAAATTCCAGCACAATCGATTTTGCCTTGTGGAACAATGATGCATCAAAGTTAACAGAAGAGCCATTTTGCTTTGGTGGTGATTATCAAAGAGATATTGAAGGAGGAACCTGTGATGCAGATTGAGGGGAGCTGGTTGATGTCTTTACTTGGATTTCTAGACAGCTTTTGATTAGGTGCCACATAAAAGGTGACTGCACAAAGTAGGAACACCTGGTATAAAGGGAACAAAACAAAAATTGCTGGAAAAGCTTCTGTGGAAGGGTCAATGGACCCAAAATGTTAATTCTGATTTTTCTCCACAGATGCTGCCAGGCCTCCTGAGTTTTTCAGCAATTTCTGTTTTGTTTCTGATTTCCAGCATCCACAATTCTTTCGGTTTTTATTTTGTATAGGAAGAACATATTAGCATGGATAGATGATTGGTTGACTGGCATAAAACAGGGAGTAAGCATAAATGGATCTTTTCTCAAATTGGCAAGATGTGAGTAGCAAGCTCTGAAAAGGATCTGTGCTGGGCCATCAAATGCTACAATTTGTAGCAGATAAGGGAAATGTAGAGCACAGTGGCTAAATTTGCAGATGACACAAAAATGGGTACGAAAGTATGTTGTGTAGATGGCAAAGTTGCAGACCAATATAGGTAGGTTAAGTGAGTGGGCAAAATCTAACAGATGTCATATAATGCGGGAAAATATGAAGTTGTTCACTCTGGCAGGAAAAATCTTTTTAAAAAACAATTTAAATCAAGAATGTGTACAGAATTCTGTGGTATATAGGGATCTAGGCATTGTAGTGCATGGACTACAATAAGTTAGTACGCAGGTAACACAAGTGATTAAAAAGGCAAATGCAATGCTATTCTTTATTATAAGAATTAAACATTAAAAAAAGAGGGTAATGCTTCATGGGGCATTGGTGTGATCACGTGTCAAATACTGTGGGCAATTCTGGGCTCCTTCTTTCTGGAAGGTCACAAATGCATTGGAAGTAGTTTAGAGAAGGTTTACTAGATTGATTTACTAGCTTGCTTCTACCTCCTTCCAAAAATCCACAAACAGAAATATCCGCACAGACCTATTGTTTCAGCCTGCTCCTGCCCCACAGAACTCATCTCTTCCTACCTTGACTGAGTCTTCTCCCCACTAGTCCAGTCCCAGCCCGCGTACATCCATGCTTCCTCTGACGCTTTACGCCAGTTTCAAAACTTGCAGTTTGCAGGCTCCAGCTGCCTCCTCTTTACCACAGGCGTGCAATCCCTTTACACGTCCAATCCCCACCAGGATGATCTTAGGGCTCTCTGCTTCTTCCTGGAGCAAAGACCTGAACTGTCCCCACCTACCAGCACCCTTTTCTGCTTGGCCAAGCTCATCCTCACCCTCAACAGCTCCACTTTTAACTCCTCTCATTTTCTTCAGGTACCCGCATGGGCCCCAGTTATGCCTGTCTCTTCATGGGCTACGTGGAACATTCCTTGTTCTAATTCTATTCCAGCCCTCACCACAATGCTTTCTCCAATATATTAATGATATCATCAGTACTGCTTCCCTCTCTCATCCGGAATTGGAAAAGTTCATTGATTTCACTTCCAATTTCCACCTGCCCTCACTTTCACCTGATCTATCTCTGACTCCTCCCTTCCCTTCTTCGATATCTCTGTTTCCATTTCTGGGGATAGACTGGCCATTAATATGTACTATAAACCAACCAACTCCCACAGCTACCTGGACTATCCTCACTATCTGACTATCCTCACACCCTGCTTCCTGTAAAGACTCCATCCCATTCTCTCAGTTCCTCCGTCTCCGTCACATATGTTCAGATATGGCCAACTTTGACAAGGGAGCCTCCGAAATATCCACCTTCTTCCTCAACTGAGGATTCCCCAGCTCCGCTGTGACAGGGCCCTCAACCAGGTCCAACCCATTTCCCATACTTCCACCCTCACCCCTCTCTTCCCTCCTGCAACTTCGATAGGGTTCCTCTTGTCCCACATCCACATCCAGAAGATCATCAGGTGCCATTTCCACCACCTCCAGCGAGATGCCACCACCAGACATATATTCCCCTCCCCTCCCTTGTCTGCCTTCCGCAGGGACTGTTCCCTCCAGGACCACCTCCTCCACTCTTCTTTCACTCCCAACACACCCTCACAGCCCCATGGCACTTTCTCCTGCAATCGCCAAAGATATAACACCTGCCCATTTACCTCCTCCCTCCCCAGTATCCAAGGGCCCAAACATACCTTCTAGTGAAGCAACACTTCCCCTGCACTTCCCAGAATCTAGTCTACTGCATTCACTTCTCACAATGTGGTCTCCTCTACATTGGGGAAACGAAGCGTGGACTGGGTGACCGTTTTGCAGAACATCCACGTTCTGCTCACAAAAAAGACCCTGAGCTTCCAGTTGCCTGCCACCACAACACACCACCCTGTTCCCTGGCCAACATCTCTGTCTCAGGCTTACTGCAGTGTTCCAGCAAAGCTCGGAGCAAGCTGGAAGACCAACACCTCATTTTCCACTTGGGGACCCTGCAGCCCTCCAGACTCAATATTGAGTTCAATATTTTTAGCACCTAAACTCTCCCATGTCCTAGCCCCCTACCCCACCCACCAGGCCTTGTTATCCCATTGCCTGCTATTGCACACTACCTATCATTAGTCACTCACAGTCCCTATTAACAGCTATTCACCCTCCTATCCAGATCATTATCAGAGATAGTAGGAACTGCAGATGCTGGAGAATCCGAGACAACAAGGTGCAGGGCTGGATGAACACAGCAGGCCAAGCAGCATCATAGGAGCAGATCATT